TTCTCATCACTGTCAATCATAATGCGAAGCAAGGATCTGCCTCATCAGCATAAATCGACTTTAATCAATGGTCAGTGCAGTCCTGTCTGTTGTTTTTCTCATCACTGTCATCAATAAATATGCATTAAATATGGGGCTTTTGTCTTTGCTTTCTCGCTGTTCTTGTTTTTCTGCTTTTGTGGCCTTTAAAAATAAAAATAAATGATTTGTTCTAATAAATTCCACAATTTTTACCACAGAGGGAGCTCTGTTTTTCTATTACCAGAAGAGCAGCTGGTTTAATTCATCGCATTACCAAAGGAACATTTGGTTTTATTCGTTTTATTTGCTGCATTACCAAAAGAACATTTTGTTTGATTCATTTATTTTCTCCATGGAGAAGAGTTTGATATTTGTTTGAAACAATAGCAGAGACTCGGGGACTGATAAGGAGGTTTATTTTGAGAGCGTGGAAAATTGATTTGCCAACCGCTTAACCTAATCTCTCATGTTAGCATTCTCTCTCTTCCCTCTCTCTCTCTCTCTCTCTCTCGCTCTGCCCTGCTCTTACGGTGAAGATCTAAGTGTTCATCAGTCTTGTCTTTATTGTTTTTCTAAATTTAAAGAGAAAAAATAACAGCTGTGGATGTAACCGGGAGGGTTTGAGGCAAAAAAATGAGAAACTATTTTAATCTCGTCTCGGCTGTAAGGCTGCAAACATGAGCGTCCATCTTCGTGAAGGTTTAAATGAGGTTCAGCAGCTTGTTGAGGGTTTTTTTGTAAACAAATTCAAGAACAAGGATGTAAACTGTGTGTGTTCGTGTGCATTTATCAGTGCGGTGTATACATGCCTCGCGTATACGAGAGCCTCGGCTCGTATTGATGCAGTCATGCATTCCTGCCTCATAAGCATAATGTGAATATGAACAGGGCCGTAGGTCCAGCACTGCAGCCGATTACGCACACGGCAATCGATCGGCTCCACTGACTTCTGCAAAAGCCTAAATCCTAACAGCCTAAAAGTTATGCGTGGCTGCATTACCATAAACCCTTCGGTCTACTGTAGCTCTCTCAAGGCTGCCTCACAGTCACATTGTTCATAACGTTAACTACAGTATCAGTATCAGTGTCATCTTTTCACTCCAAAGAAGCTCCATTAGCTCTGATCATTAATTGCACGTGTCTACAGGACTTTGCCTAGAGTTTAAAGAGCTTAGTGTTCTCCTCCAAGCATGTTTAAGCCAGCTTTTTCGTTTTTATTATTGGATTTTTCTTTTATTATCAATAGTAATAGGAGGAGGAAGAGGATGAAGAGGATTCATATATCTTTATGTCGAACAGCTACTCTTTAACAGTAGTTGTAGTTCATGGGTCGCAACCCAGATGTTAAGAAGAGCCATTTTTTCCTTTCAACAAATATCAAACCACCTTATCCATTTTACCGTCTCGGCTGTAAATTATGTCTCAGTATGTGCTGATGTGCTAGTATAGGATAAAAAAAATATAAACTAACTTTGCTCTGCTTTAAGCTTTAGCTCAGATATAGATGCTTTTCTCGCATCTCCAGCAGGAAACCTTTCCACAAAAGTAGAATATTTTCTTCTAAAACGTCTCGCAACAAGGCTGAAGGCTTGAAATTTACTGTTCCACCTTAAATGGTTCCTGAGGCTCCAGAATGTAACTGCTGCACCATTTAAGGTGGAACGGGAGAATTCGAACGATAGTTGGCGAACAAGAAACTTCAGCTCTGTGACTTTTTAGTGTTTGACAGTTTCTCGTTGCAGATTAAACGTATCAGAAAACCAGCTGGAGTGATTATAAATGCAAATAAGTCTGATCATCTCCAAATTATTGATGTTCATCTTAAATCTCTCTCTTTGCCGTTTCGTTAGCTACTAGCTAGGCGAGACTGTTGTCTGTGTTGCTACGGTGACCAGCAGTCTGCGCTGATCCTCAGGGTTAAAGGGTGAATTAGCAGTTCTACATTAACTCCAGAGTTTAAGACCATTTACTGTTAAACTGTGTTGAACGATCAGCAGAGCTTTATTTTACTGTAAAGGAGGATTATTTTATTTTTACCTACAAATCTGATTCTGCTGTGGAGCCTCAACAGGACAGTAAAAGAGCCGCATGTGGCTCCAGAGCCACATGTTGCCGACCCCTGGTATTGTCAATTATAGTAACATTGTTAGCACTTCGTTTGAAAGCTACAAAGGGACTTTATTACACATCCACAAACACATATTTAAAAAGCAGTACTTACACTATATGGCCAAAAGTACGATCGTCGCACGTAAATGTGCTTGCTGGACGTCCCATTCAAAAACCATGGGTATTATTATGGAGTTGGTCACTCTTTGCAGCTATAACAGCCTCCACTCTTCTGGGAAGCTTCTACAAGTTTGTGTCCATTCAGCCAACGAGAATTTGTGAGGTCAGGCGCTGATACTGGACTGAGAGGGTCTGGCTCACAATCGACGTTCCAGTTCATCCCAAAGGTGCTCAGTGGGGTTGAGGTCAGGGTTCTATGCAGGCCATTCATCAAACCCCCAAACCCTGAAAAACAGCCCCAGCTCATTATCCCACCTCCACCAAACTTTACTGTTGGCTCTGCATTTCGGTAGGTAACGTTCTCCCGGCATCCACCAAACCCAGATTCACCTGTCAGACTGACAGATAGTAAAGCGTGATTCATCCCTCCAGAGAACACGGTTCCACTGCTCCAGAGTCCAGAGGTGGCACTATTCTACACTATTCTAGCTGACGCTTGGCATCGTGCATAGTGAACGTGGCATGTGTGCAGCTGCTCAGCTGTGAGACCCATTCAATTAAGTTCCAGAGGCAGTTTGGAGCTCTGTAGTGAGTGATAAGACAATGGTGTCACGTTTGAAATCAGTCAGTTCTTCAGTACGACCCATTGTACTTCAAGTGTTTGTCTATGGCTGTGTTTTTATTTGACCTGTTGGCAACAGATGTGGCTGAAACACCTAAACTCAATAATTAGGAGGGGCGTCCACATACTTTTGGCCATATAGTCTTCAAAATAAATGTATAACTCATTGTAGCTTGCATTGTAAAATAAAGCACATTCGTTATTATTTGTGATTATGATAGCTTGATCATTGTAATGGTGATAGTAGGAGAGGAATAATGTTAGTAACAAAATTATTATGATTATGATTATGATTATTATTATTATTATAATCATTAAGGCTTATAGCTGTTGTGCTCAAACAAAAATGTACTATTTCTGATTAATATTTTGATCATTCACTATTTCAGTAGTCTTCGAACTATAGGTATAACCCATTGTGCCTTGCACTGTAATATAATAATAATGCTCATTATTATTTCTGATTATAATGTTTTGATCATTTTATTGGTGCTAGTAGGAGAAGACTAATTTTAGTTGTAACAATTCTTACTATTATTATTGAAAATAGTGGCAGTATAGCTGTGTTTATCAAAATGTTGATTATTGAGGTAATTATTAAGGCTTATAGCTGTTCTAAATTCAAAAATACCAACAAATGTGTCCACTGTCATTTGACCTGGTGACCAGCTCAGGTGTGGCTAAATTATTTTCCTTTATCTCAGCGACGAATGCGAGCCGAGCGCAGCGTCCACTGCTCTATTGTGTTTTATCATTCCTTAATTACAAAGTGCCGGACGGCGTCTATCAGCACAGCAGGTTTGGAGTTAATGCAGGAGCTCAGACAAAAGCACCCGGGTGTTTCTGCGAATAGTATATTCTTTTGTGACCCACCGTAATTACCTATAATGAGACGGCCTGTGAGAGTGGCCCCCTTTTAAATTCAATTAATAGCTTAATTAATCCTAAAGATATTATCTGTAGTCAAATTAACCTCTAGTGCTAAATGTCCATAATTAATCAGACTCCAAAGACTCGGCGACGGCTGTAATTAACAACCAGAACAAGTGGAGAAACTATCAGATTCATTCACTGCTTTGTTCTCTCACTTGTCTGTTTACGTTCCCTCTCTCTCTCTCTTCACCATCCTTTCCATTTCTACTTAATCGATTAATGATTAAGTATTAATTATTAGTGTGATATATGTTACGTAGCCCTGATCACAGCGACTGATTAAACTGGTTTGAACTTTGGTGGCTTAATTAAAATGATTTACATCAATACAAGCTTGACTTGTATTTCCCTTTTAAAAAAAGGGAATCCCACCAAAATTTTAAAAAATTTCCACATAATTAGACGACCAAACTGCAGATCCATTAAGAGTGGTTTGGTGTGAAACGCTCTGTTCTAGATAAACTTACCGAGTCAGAATTGTTCACAGTGGAACCAGACGTCCACCTCTAAAAGCTCCCTCACAAAAAGTTACTACATGAAATGGTTATGAATTCACTGCCTGATGACTGAGACACTGTTTTATGATCATTTGAGAAGATTTTGGTCTTAAATTCCATTCATGGTGGAGGGATACATAATATGCAGGGAGCTGTGAGGCAAAATAGTCCCCAAAGAAAACTTATTATTTCAGATTTTCCACAATTTTCTATCATCACCATTCCATATAAACTCAGAAGACTCGTGTAGGTTCACTGGTGGTTCTGGATAGTAAATAAAATGCCTATATTTGTGTTGTAGTCATGGCGACCCCTGGTTCCTATCACCACCACTGTAAAGAGATCTGAACCATTTCACACCAAACCGCTCTGAATCACTCTGTTTACATCTCAAGCACTTAAATTTATTACTGTAATTTTGCTCTAATATTTAAAGGCAATTGCATAAATTATAATGAATTATGTTTTAGCTAATTAATATTTGCATTTACATTCTAAATGTTTTCTGCAAATAACAAAGTTTAGAATCTGCACTTTCCACTCCTTTCAATGAGCGACAAGTCTGAAATAATTCATATATAATATAACACTATGAATTTGCCATCACTGGTCATAACTTGATATCGTTGCTTCATCAAGTCATTAATTGATTAATTGGTTCAATTAACAGTAAACCTTTCTTATCTGTTCATCTTCAGGCACTTCCTGTTCAAGCACGGCTCTGGTTCCTCGACGCTCTTCAACGCAACCAATCAGAACTACCCACTGACCTCCAGTACGGTCTACTCTCCGCCCCCCAGGCCGTTACCCAGAACCCCCCTGACCAGGCCGCTCTTCTCCTTCAGTAAACCGTATCGCTGCTGTAACTGGAAGTGTACAGCCCTGAGCGCCAGCGCCGTCACCGTCACGCTCGCCCTGCTGCTCACTTACGTCATCGGTGAGTCTTTCTCTGTCTGATCTCTTTCACTAAAAGACTTTGGCGAATGACCTGTTTCACGCAGGTTTTTTAGGACTGGACGATATGAGCCAAACACTGCTACTGTGTTTAAATGGCTGCTTTACTAGTTTGAATCGTGCTTTTAGCAAATCAGCGATCAGGACGAAACTCAGACCTCCAGAAAAGTCTTTACAGGAAAAAGAAACAAACACTCCATTAATCCTCAGACATTTCTAGCCGTGTTTTGCCACCTTCGTGTTTAAACTCACTAAGTGGGGTGACGCAAAGTGGGCGGAGTCAGTGACAAAGTTGAGCTGTATGTTTAACCATATGCAAATAAGGAGTGTAGTGACGTGCTGATTACCAATAAGATTTGAGCATTGAGCCAGAGAACTGCAGAGAGGAGAATTCCCGCTCTCTAATGTCTTCTAGGTTTCTGAGATGCTAGAGGGCGCTCCTGAGCGAGTCCAAAATGAGTGGGTTAATATGGAGCATTTGAGCAAAATCATAGTTTATAAACGCTTAAACATTTTTAATGTAAAATAATTTATTTATTTCCTGAACACAGAATATCATAAAACATGTTAACACTGCTGTTATATTTTTAAGAGCTTTTAAACTCGAGTTATAGGAGTTTAAAACGGCGCCTCATGTACGTTCATGACGTCAGTGAGCGCGAACAGCCAATGAGCTGCTCCGTTCGCCAACCAATCAGCTCTCAGTAGCAGTAATGTTAGCGTCCTGCTGCCCAAAACCCGTTTGCTGTAGAAAAAGGAAACATCCAGGTGAGATTTCTTTACTTTTTTAGTGAAATTCATCCGTCTGCTTTCTAAAATTAAAGGAAAGTTCTGGTTCAGTGATTAGAAACTATATTAACTTTTCATTTTTAGCCGTTTAGCTTAATTTACTCCTATACATTGAGGACTCCCTCGCGGGCGCCCTCTGCTGTTTAGCAGTCCTGTTTTTGATATAACGGGAGAAATAGGAAGTGGCCAGACTCCTCATAAACTGGCTCTGATTGAGCAGCGCAATACGCGCTTTATCTCCACCACTGTGAAACAGTGCACTCCGTTTTTGGTTCCTAGATAAATGTTCCTACTAGAGATGGAATAACTGTGGCACCGCAAATGGACAGTAATCGCAAACACCAAATACTGTTTTCCTCACAGACTGACTGAACAGACAGGGATTAAATACAAATAAGCACACAAGCGATTCTCAACCAGGATTTTTAATTCTAGTGGGAACGCATCTGATTTGTGCTTGGTGTCAGTGAAACCATGGCAACCAGTGGTCAGTTGGAGATCAGAAACGCTCACAGGCGATGAGTGACCAGCAGTGACCAGTTGCTGCCAGTGTGAACGCAGGGTTACACATTCACAGAATCTGTAGAATCTAAACTAGACTTTAGGACCCATTTACACATCACTGGGATGCAGCATAACACAAAGTTAATGAGGTAAATTTGAAAAAACTGAAACCATTTCTTTAAATGTGGACATATCAAAGCGGGAACTTAAAAAGATGGTACTTCAAGGATTTCTGAGTAAAGAAATTGGTTCTATATAGAACCACAAACATTCAGAGAACCCTTTGCATGAATAAAGAATTGTTTCCATGGTGAAAGTTTCTTCAGACTGATGGAGAATGTGCTGTAGATAGTTCTAAATAGAACCTTTTTGAAAAAACGGTTCTATATAGCACCAAAAAGCGTTCTTCTTTGTTACAGTCTTGACATCATAATAATGATAGAACCATCTACAGCACATTCTCCATCAATCTGGAGGATGCTTTCACAATGCAAAGAACCCTTTAATCATGCAGAGGGTTCTTTGAGTGTTCATGGCTTCGTATAGAACCCTTCCCTTGCTGAAGAACCTGTGAAGAGCCATCTTTTTTTAAGAGTGTGTAAGTGCCAATACGTCTTACGAAACTCTGAACTGAAACTGGAGCCACACACACTTTTTCCAGGTAAGGTTATGTAAATGCATTAGCGTGATCTTCAGAGGCGCTATCAGGGGCCTATAGGGGGCGCTAGAAGCTATGTTCTTCCCTCAGCAGTCTGCCGCAGTTGAGTTGTAGAGAAAGCATTTCAAGCTCATCATTTCAGCTGAAGTCTCATTTATCAAATGTGTTTTGAGAAATAGTTCTATGACTAATGATCGACTTTCAGCGGTCATTTTAATAAAACGTGCCCAGTGGGGTCACCGGCGTCCCTGCAGGGTTCTAAGGGTTAAGTTTCAATGCAAGTGGATATAAGGAGATTTTATTATCAGCCACTTTGGACCGTTTCTGTTGGTCCCCTCAGGATGAGATTTGTGGTGTAGTGTTTTTTAAATTTCAAATTATGCTAAAAAATGTTACGAACAGCAAAAATGCAGATACAAGCTTTTGTTCCGACAGCGGTGAAAAGGTTGTAGTCGAGGGTGGAAACGGACTCTGCTTGGGCTCTTTCGGCCTCTCATCGGCCAATTTTTCTCATCAGCCAATAAATGCTTAATTCCAATGCATTTCCTGCATTAAAATTAATAGAATATTTAAAGAGCTGAAGGCTTGGCTGTTTTTTCCTGGAAGGCCAAGACTGCGTCCCAAACCGAAGGCGGCTGTTTCGGTGTCTAGCTGTCTGAGCTGTCTCATAAGTCGGTGCCTTAGAAAGTACCCGCTACATCACGACGTTGCCAGGATACAACAGTTCACTGCTAGCTGTTAGCGTTAGGCGTTAGCATCTTTTAAGGAGGCCAGCTAAACTTTTTAAAACCAGAAAAGGTCTTGGATTTGTGCCCAAACCTCTCCACTGAGCCGGTGGTCGTTTTTTTCTGATATTGTTTTCCCAATCACATTGGCAGTGACACAAAGGATTGTGGGATATGTCAGTCAGTGAAGGATACATCTACACTACCCTCGAAAAACAGCTGAATGAAGGAACCTCAGCAGGCAGCGTTCACACAGACATTAGATCCGGATGCGACTGGGTGTTTCCTGCCTCAGAATACTGTCTATTATGTTCATTATGTTTATTAATACTGTTTGCTATGTTTCATCATTACTGCACAACCTTAACTGCAGCACTAAAACACTCAGATTCTGACTGATTGTTGCAAATCCAGCAATTTTCAAACCTTAAAATCATTAATGCTGTATTCAAACACCGAGAACTTCCCCATGCAAAAACATACATAAACATCATACATTGTACAAAGCCATTTCCAAAAAAGTTGGGACGCTGTGCAAAATGTAAATAAAAACAAAACTCAGTGATGTGCAAATCATTTAAACCCTATATTAAATTGAAAATAGTACAACGACAGCAAATCAAATGTTGAAACTGAGAAATTTTATTGTTTTTTGAAAAATATATGCTCATTTTGAATTTGATGCCAACAACACGTTTCAGAAAAGTTGGGACGGGGGCCTGTTTACCACTGTGTTTCATCACAGTGGTAAAGTTGACACGAGGCATGGTTAAGGCTGCATGTTTTTGAGTCATGTCCAGTTCCGCCCAATAGCCAGGTCAGCTGGGGAGTGAAGGCCACATGCTTTCTTCACGACGTGAAGCTCTGCTGCATCTTCACAAACTACTGCTAACGCATCAGCCTGGAGGAGAACTCTGCTAATTGTGGCTAGCATCATGCTGAGTGATGCAGAGAGAGAGACAGAGAGAGAGAGAGAGAGAGAGAGAGAGAGGACAGTTATGACATCTTGGAATCACTGGAGATCAAACTCACAGTCTCCTAACGATTTAGCCAACACTTAGATGATTGACCCACACACTAGTGCAGAAACTCATCTGGAGCTCTGCTGATATTTCAATAATGATTAACGTGATTCATGTACAGTTTTAGTAACACTCATCTCAAATCGTATGGAGGTAATTCAGTAATCAAATGACTGTTTCTTAGCTGTATTTTGCTCTGTTGGGCTGCAGGATCCAGTATTTAAACTCCTACGTAGTGCACTATGTAGGGAGCAGGGAGCTGTTTGGGATTCAGCCCCAGTCTGAGAGGAGTGGCGCCGCTGGATTGGTGCCAAATAAGACTTGAGATGCTAATTTGGTGACCAAAAAGTACTTATAAACAAAGGTTTTTTGCATTAAACAGTGCTGTGTTAACATTCACTATATTGCCAAAAGTATTGGCTCGTCTGCCTTCACACGCATATGAACTTGAGTGAGATCCCATTCTTAATCCATAGGGTTTAATATGATGTCGGCCCACCCTTTGCAGCTATAACAGCTTCAGCTCTTCTGGGAAGGCTTTCCACAAGGTTTAGGAGTGTTTATGGGAATTTCTGACCATTCTTCCAGAAGCGCATTTGTGAGGTCAGACACTGATGTTGGACGAGAAGGCCTGGCTCGCAATCTCCACTCTAATTCATCCCAAAGGTGTTCTGTGGGGTTGAGGTCAGGACTCTGTGCAGGCCAGTCAAGTTCTTCCACACCAAACTCGCTCATCCATGTCTTTATGGAGCTGCTTTGTGCACTGGTGCGCAGTCATGTTGGAACAGGAAGGGGCCAAACTCCCCAAACTGTTCCCACAAAGTTGGGAGCATGAAATTGTCTGAAATCTCTTGGTGCTGAAGCATTAAGAGCTCCTTTCACTGGAATTAAGGGGCCGAGCCCAACTCCTGAAAAACAACCCCACACCATAATCCCCCCTCCACCAAACTTTACACTCGGCACAATGCAGTCAGACGAGTACCGTCCTCCTGGCATTTGCCAAACCCAGACTCGTCCATTGGATTGCCAGACGGAGAAGTGTGATTGGTCACTCCAGAGAACACATCTCCACTGCTCTAGAGTCCAGTGGCGGCGCTTTACACCACTGCATTCGACGCTTTGCATTGCGCTTGGTGACGTAAGGCTTGGATGCAGCTGCTCAGCCATGGAGACCCATTCCATGAAGCTCTCTACGCTGTTCTTGAGCTGATCTGAAGGCCACATGAAGTTTAGAGGTCTGTAGCGATTGACTCTGCAGAAAGTTGGTGACCTCTGCGCACAGTGG